CTGTAGTACGAAGATAGTCTGAATGTTACGGCCGCAGCAGAAGTAGGTTTGGCAGGGGCAACAAATAGCGCTGCAGCAACCCGAATGTCCTTAACCTGTCTCTTATACACATCTAGATGTGTATAAGAGACAGACCTAATAGTTACTGTCGTAGTAATCGACAAGTGCGGGCAATAAAGTATGTTTATTAAATTATTACTATTCGTAGAATTATTAGATCATAATAATAAGATTACGATGCTGATTGTGGTGACATTTGTATTCCTCTTAAAGTATGTGGTCCGTTTTGGTGTGTGAAACCATTACTATTATTAGAATTCTAATTCAATTATTAGATCATTATACTATGATTACGACGGTGATTGTGGCGATATTTGTATTCCTCTTTAAGTATGTGGTCCGTTTTGGTGTGTGAAACCCTTACTATTATTAGAATTCTAAGTCAATCATTAGATCATTATACTACGATTACGATGATGATTGTGGTGATATTTGTATTCCTCTTTACGTATGTGGTCCGTTTTTGTGTCTGACACCTTTTTTTTTTGCAGTGATGATACAAATGCGTACTACGTGGTTGGGACCGCTTACGTTCTTCCAGAAGAGAGCGAACCAACTAAGGTGAGTGAGTCATCTCAATGTTCCGATTTTGTATGGTGGAGAGGGGTACAAAAAACAAACGGCTTTGATGCTGACAACTTCGCACCAACCATCCATTACGATACATTGATAGGACACTGTGTACAATAGAATGATATCTATGGGGATAGCCCCAGAGCGAGTGAGTAGCCCTTATCTATACTAAATAGGGGGGGAGGCTTGTGGAAACGGTAATCTTGGGGATACTTACTCGCTCTGTTGAAGCAGGCGAAGAAAGACACGTGAACTTGTCGAAGAAGAAGCGAGACTGCTGAAACGCGAAACGCGTGTCTTTGAAGCTGGGCTATGCACAGAGCTGCCCGGGCCACCTTGGTTGCCCGTGCGACCCGCGCAGGCAAGGGCCAGTGAAGGTCGCTGCAAAAAAAAAAAGAAAAAAAGCTATGTCATGCAGAAAAATAAACTCTCAAATCGGAACTCCTTACCAGATTAGTTAAAGACTAAGATCAAGTTCCGATTGACATATATTTTAAAAAATATATATATTTTTATAGTTTTTGTATTTTGTATTTGTATTTTATTTTAGCCTGGCCATGCAAGTGAGCCCAGGCCACTGGTATACGTTGTTGTGAAGCCATTTGACTCGAATTTAGCTAATACTGGTGAAACTTGTCTCTTGACAAATAATTGGAATGCAAATAGACAAATAAGTAAATAATAAATCAACAAAAAAAAAGAAAAGATTGGAATGCAAATGCGAAGGTTGGTTACAGCGAGATTGTTTACTTTGTCCATGATAGTTGCTGACTACAGTGTGTGGTTGCTCGTACAATGAATAGGGACGCATTTTGGTGTTCACAGTAGAAGATCAGAAGCTCCAGCTTGTGACCGAAAAGGAGACCAAGGGAGCTGTATACAATTTAAACGCTTTCAATGGAAAGCTGCTCGCGGGAATCAACCAGAAGGTTCAGGTATGTAGGCGTCGACTGTGTTTATTAAACTTTTTTTTGCTTACGTACGTAAACCAGCATGTGTAAGCAGTCCAGATGCATAATATTGGCTTGATTGACGCTTCCTCTTGGTGCACGGATTTTTGTTTTTTTTTCAACGACAGTCCACATTGATGGCTGAATAAAAAATAAAAAAAAAACTGAAAAAAAAAAAAAAAA